CAAACGAATAGAAAATTTAAAAATTTTCCGGGTGGAAAATTATACCAAGCAAAGACACTTTTAATCATTTTCCCTACAAAACATTTTCTAGGCAAATTTTTTCCCTGTAAAACATTTTCTTTCCACCCATTTTCCACCCTTGCAATCAAACGCACCCTTACAGAAAATTATCAAAACGTGTTCAAAAGGAGCTTCTTTACGCTTGCAAGTAGCTCTTCGCTTTTCAAAAGTCCCGCTAAATAAGCAATACTGTCTTATTTTTCAGTTGACCATTACATTTATCATATTACCCTTAGATATCTGAAAAATTTTCAACCCATCTTGGAAACAGTGTAAAAAAAAAAAAATTGGCCTGTAAAGGGCATTTCAGTAAACTATCTCATTGATTTTGCTAATAAATGAGGGAGTTTCCAAACATGTTGGCTTAACAAAAAGGGGACTTAGATATCTTAATTTTTAAGCACACCCAAACAAGCGCCAAGTCAAGTTTTTAATTTCACTTCAACAGGTTCAAGCATTTTATATGCAATATACCTGCAAATCATCCAGTTCGCCCAAGGAGAACTCGAATACATCTATGTGGCCTTTGACCTTCTTCTTCTCCCCTCCAACAAGCCATTCCCCTGATGTCCATTAATTTATTATTTAGTAGTTTAGGTGCAAAACAGAAATATGGAAAAAATAAACAGAGTAAATAAAGACTATTCCATAATGACGATTGATGAAAAAGACAAGAAGAGTTCACCTTTCACTTTTAGTGTCAGCTCATAGGTGTAGCCAACTCGTTTTTTGTTTCGTACAGTGACCAAGAATGCCTGAAAGTCTTTAAAAAATTATTGCTGAAGCAAGGAATGGTAATTGAGTTCATAACCTTAAAAAGGCCCAATAATATTACTATGCTTCAAGAGAAAATAACAGTATCTACTTGGAATCTATAGTGTAAACGTGTTGAATATTCAAGAGTCTAACTTATTTTAAACAACAAGGTTAGCACAATAAAAAAATTTTCCTCAAGCAGATTCCTCTCTCTCTTTCAATGTTATTGGAGAAAATCAAACAAAAACTCATCCTTCTATGTTTTCCTTGGTTCTAACAAATAAACGAGTGTTCACAATTATGAGCATCTTCACCTTATGGAGAGCACGCTTGCGCGTGCTTTTAAATGATTATAAGAAGTTGGTCTTACTGAATGTTTAGATAATAAATGAGTATTAGTTATGGATCTTTCGAAATATGTGGATAAAAAGTATGTTTAACCAATTTAAATTATAAATTTAAGCTTTGCCAAACATGCACTCATTTGGCTGCAAGTATAATATATATTGCAGATATTACTGGAAATCAACTCGTGATTCACAGCACACCAATTTATTAGTACCTTTGATCAAAACATTTTATGAAGTGGATAATTATTAAACTATGAGAAGCAATACAAAGGAACCTTCAAGACATTGGACAAGGTTGATGATATTGCAAATTAATGCACAAAATCATTATTGATATCTAAAATAGCCATGAGTGAGTCCACAGAAAGTCATGCACTACCACTCTCCACCATACATGTCTTCGTTTCTCAAGTGTCATTTCCTAAAATCAAGAAAATTTAGAGTTAATTCATTTCAGAAACTAGTGAAGTGGACCAAGAAGTCATTGAGACAGAAAATGCGGTTACTAAGGAAGAATATAGAAATGTGACCTTCCCCAAATTGCTGAACGATAAAGGTGCCATCAATGAAAGTGCATTCAGGATAACAAGTCCAGACAAAGTTCGTGTAATTCAGTTCTCATTACTGGTGTTTATAAGCTTCCTTTATGGCACTACAGCTTCATTTATCTCTTAACACCAGCGATAGTTTTTTGCAACTTCATTCAAATAATTAATGTCAGAATAGCGGTAATGAGCAACTGCCTAAACTATTAATACAAAGAAACTATGAGATATTTATGTTTGTCAGTTTATGCAAGTTCATCAATGTCAAGTATAAACATGAAATGTGGTCATCAAACATCTCACTTGGACATTAATCTTCAGAAGCTTAAAAGGAAAGAAATTGTCTCGGGTATATAACAATTTTAGAAGCACTCACATCTCCAGAGCACTTAGTTACTTCTGATACTTCAGCTCGGCCACCAGAGAACTCCAGGGAACCCATAGACACAAGCAACTCCTACAATTTGAACCCTAAAGTCAAATGCTAATATATAATACAAGGTATGTGTGTACATGCACACTAGCTGGCAAATATGAACAAGCCAGAATAATTGATTGACATGGAGAATTCATACAGTCCAGCACCATTATTAGATTTCGGCTTCATGGTAGTGTTTCTTGATTGTAGAATCTCTTACAGAACTCCATCGTAGATGGGTTTATCTTCCAATTTGAAAAGTTATCTTTTCTATTTAGCTTGTCTAAAATTATATAAATCAGGATTTGGCAAGTCACAAGGTACTCATAGTAATCTAATTTCTCATCTTCACTTGTTCTGCTTCAATTCATTATATGGTCCTTGCTGGGTTTTTTTTTTTTTTTTTTGCGGCAACTAATTGCCCAACTATTTCCCCAGCACCAACATTAGGAGTGTTTACACGACTGGAAACAAATTAAAAAAGGAAAATTGTTCCTATACTACGCATTTGAGCACAATAAACAATATTAAAGAAGATATTTAACAGTTATAGGCATTCAAACCTTAATCCTATCAGTTGCCCATTTATTCAAACTCTTCTCCTCCCATGTTCCGGCCTGTAAAGAGGAAAATGGAAATGAATTATTAACATAATATAAGAAACACATAAATTTTACTTTTAGCCAATGACATGCGCTTGGCAGCTAAGTATGATAAATATTGACTTCAAACACGTGTAAGACTCAAAATTCTAGTTACCCCTAGGTCAGTGAAACCTAAAGTTAAAACTAACACAGCAGCCCACAATGTATTTCATTAAAACATGCAAATTACAATTGAAAGAAAAATGTAGGGAAACAAAAATAATTAAATGCAGTCCATAAGTATTCATAAGAGTGCCACTACAAGTTATTGCAAACAAAGTTTATGGAAATAAAAATTGGATTACATTATTGACAAGCTTTCCAAGAATACCTCACATATTATATGCTTAAACTATAACAAAATTCACAGGACCTTCAGCCTACCATCAAGCAACGATTAACACACTCATTTAAAAATAGAAAAAAGTTCTAGGATTAAATTTAATTAAAAGACAAATTCTATAACTCTTACCATTTAGTTAATTAGTTTCCTTAGCCTCCATTTGGCCCCCATTATTTCAAATTATAATTTTTGGAATAATATTCTTTTGGAGAATGTGTAGTTGAAAAAGAAGGAAAAATTTTTGATTTACGTGTAATATTATTTTATGAAAGATTGTATAATTGAAAATAAGAAAGAAGAATAATTTTTTGGGATAATGGGGGCCAAACGGGGGCTTAAAAATAACAACCATAGGATATTTCATATTATTTGAAAAGCTCTAATAATAGGCAACGATAGCAGCATGCATGGAATCACAGGTCATCATAGTTTCTATGCTAACCATAAACATTCCGATCATCTCTATATTATATGTTTGCACTCTTCTTATTCAACCTTTACTTAGTAGTGCTATATCAGTATTTGTTAGATTCTCTATACTGGAGGGGCTAATCTTTTCAACGAACACGAAATAACTGCCAGTTCTTATTCATTATTTCTGTAACCTCTCATTACATTGTCATTATTTAGAATGACCGAGTAGCGAGGATATTCGTAAGCACAGTTCTTAAGTGGTATATTTTTGGTGATTTGGTGTTGTGATCGAACAAAGATTGGAAAAGATTTTCTATTCTCTCTCAATTATTCCAAACAAGGCTGATACATATATATATATACAAAACCTAAAACTAATTTAGGTAAGTACGTAAATAAGGAAACTAGAATCTCGTTAGGTATAGACCTCTAATTACAATCTATAACACTCCCCCTCAAGTTGGAGCATATATATTTATCATGCCCAACTTGTTACAAAGATAATCAACCCGAACCCCATTTAGAGCTTTCGTGAAGATATCTCCTAATTGTTCTCCAGTCTTCACATACCCTGTAGAAATCAAACCTTGTTGAATTTTCTCGCGAACAAAATGACAATCAATTTCAATATGCTTAGTTCGCTCATGAAACACAGGATTAGATGCAATATGAAGGGCAGCTTGATTGTCACACCACAATTTTGCTGGTACTGAAAGTTTAAGACCTATTTCAGTCAATAGCTGACATACCCACATTATCTCGCACGCAGACTGTGCCATAGCCCTATATTCGGCTTCTGCACTCGATCTTGACACAACGTTCTGCTTCTTACTCCTCCATGAGACCAAATTTCCACCAACGAAAACACAATAACCTGATGTGGATCTTCTATCCACTTTGGAACCTGCCCAATCTGCATCTGAGAAACATTCAATACGACTGTGCCCATGATTTGCATACAAGATACCTCGTCCGGGTGCTCCTTTCAAGTAGCACAAAATTTGTTCTAGCGCTGCCCAATGATGAACTGTTGGGGATGACATAAACTGACTAACAACACTGACAGAATATGCAATATCTGGACGAGTCACCGTAAGATAATTTAGCTTTCCAACCAACCTTCTATATCTCTCAGGATCTTCAAATTGTTCTCCATCTCCTGTAAGGTGCACGTTTGGAGTCATTGGAGCACTACAAGGTTTCGCCCCCAATTTTCTCGTTTCAGTTAATAAGTCAAGGACATATTTTCTCTGAGATAAGAGGATCCCCTTTTTACTCCTTGTGACTTCAACACCCAAGAAATACTTTAGCATCCCTAAGTCCTTCGTGTGAAACTGAGTATGAAGGAAAGACTTAAGGGACAAGATTCCTGTAGTATCACTTCCAGTAATGACAATGTCATCCACATACACAACTAAAAGAATGATACCAGCTACCGACTGTTTGTAGAACACAGAGTGGTCAGACTTGCTTTTCATCATACCAAACTTTTCAACAGCTTGACTAAATTTTCCAAACCAAGCACGAGGACTCTGTTTCAAACCATACAGAGATTTTCGAAGACGACAAACTCGCCCAGACTCCCCCTGAGCAACAAAACCAGGAGGTTGCTCCATATACACTTCTTCCTGAAGATCACCATGAAGAAAAGCATTCTTGATATCTAGTTGATGCAAAGGCCAATGATGAGTAGCTGCCATAGAAATAAACAATCGAACAGATGTCAATTTAGCAACGGGCGAAAAAGTGTCAGAATAGTCCACCCCATAGGTTTGAGCATATCCCTTAGCGACAAGACGCGCTTTCAATCGAGCAACTGACCCATCCGAATTAACCTTAACTGTGAACACCCATTTGCATCCTATAGCCCTTTTCCCTGAAGGTAAATCGACCAAATTCCAAGTACCATTGTCATCTAAAGCATTCATTTCCTCAATCATTGCATGATGCCAACCAGGATGAGATATGGCTTCTTGGACAGTTTTAGGAATAGAAATAGAATCAAGGGATGCAATAAAAGAAGAAGAAGAGGACGACAAACAGTTATAGGAAACAAAAGAAGAAATAGGGTAAGCACATTGTCGTTTACCTTTGCGTAACGCAATAGGAAGATCATCGGTTGAGACCGGATCTGATGACGAAGGAGCAGGTGCAGGACATAAATCAGGGAGGTTGCGCCTGGAGTAGACTTGATGAATAGGAGGCCTGACAGGAGAGTGTTCCGAGACAGGTCCAGAAGGTGTGATAGAATCAGAAGATGTGATAGAATAGACTAACGAATCATCATCCTCCCCCTGAAGTGCGGGAGGAGGAGAAGAAGAAAAATACGGGGTGTCTTCCATGAAGGTAACATCAACTGAAACAAGATATTTGTTAAGATTAGGACAATAACATCTATAACCTTTCTGAAGACGTGAATAACCAAGGAAAATGCACTTCAAAGACTTGGGATCTAATTTGGTGACATGCGGACGAACATCTCGAACAAAACAAGTGCTACCAAATATCCGAGGTTCAATAGGAAACAATGACTTATTGGGAAAAAGGATTTTGTAAGGGATCTCACCAAGAAGAACAGACGATGGCATACGATTAATTAGAAAACATGCTGTAGAGACTGCGTCGGCCCAAAAAGGTTTAGGAACATTCATTTGAAATAATAGGGCCCGTGCAGTTTCAAGGAGATGTCTGTTCTTTCGTTCTGCCACTCCATTTTGAGATGGGGTATCAACACAAGAAGTTTCATGAAGCATGCCATTTTGAACCATATAAGTTTGAAATAAAGCGGACGTATATTCTTTGGCATTATCACTTCGCAAAGTACGAATCGAAACATTAAAGTGAGTTTTAATCTCAGCACAGAACGCACAAAAGAGAGAAAACAGCTCAGAACGACTTTTCATTAAGTATAACCAAGTGACACGAGAATAATCATCCACAAAAGTAACGAAATACTTAAATCCAGGTTTAGACAAAATAGGGCAAGGACCCCAAACATCAGAATGAACTAATTCGAAAGGAACACGAGCACGTTTATTGACTCTAGGACTCGAACTTAGACGATGGTGTTTTGCAAACTGACACGACTCACAATCTAAAGAAGACACCTGACTAAACTGTGGACAAAGCTTCTTGAGCAGAGGAAGAGATGGATGACCCAATCTACAATGTGCCTCAAAGGGAGATGTGACACCAGAGCAAGCAATAGATTTAGGCATTGGTGTGTCCAGAATGTAGAGACCCCCTGACTGATGTCCTTTACCAATAATCTTCTTCGTCATAAGATCCTGAAATAAGCAACGATCAGGAAAAAATGAAATGCAACAGTTAAGATTACGAGTAAGTTGGCTTACAGAGATCAAATTAAAGGACAAGTTAGGTAAATGTAAGACAGATGACAAAAGGAGTCGAGGGGTAGGAGTAATTGTGCCAGACCCACGAACACAAGAAGGTGACCCGTCAGCTCGGGTAACGGTAGAAGTGGAAGTGTGTGACTGAAAAGTAGAAAAGAGACCAGAAATAACTGATATATGATCCGTGGCACCAGAATCAATGACACATTAGGAGGATGAGGAAATAAGACATGTATTTGGTTTACCTGAATCAGCAATAGCAGTGACAGAAGGAGAAGAAGACTTTAGTGATTCTTGATACTGTGAGAACTTGGCGAATTCATCTGCAGAGATAAGAATTGATGTTTCAGAAGTCTCATTAGTGGATGCAACATGGGCCGAGTGAGCTTTCTGATTCATGTATTGAAGCTTTCTACAATCACGCTTCATATGTCCTGATTTGTGACAGTAATGACACACAATTCCTCTAGAATCTTGCGTTCGAGCTTAAAACCCGTGCGAGCCTCCTCCTGTGCTTCCATTCTGATGGGTTGATCTCCCAGGCTCATAATGATTATGTCGACTGACCAAAGCCCCACTGATTTGGGCAGGTGGAGTACTTTCAGTGCGGAGTACTCGACTAAATACGTCTTGTAAAGAGGAGATCTCAGAACCAGAAAGAACCTGTGATTTAGCAGTCTCAAATTCAGAGGGAAGGCCAGCAAGAAAACTCATGACGGCCATTTGTTCTCGTTGGCTTTGCTGAACTTTCACATCAGGGCTGAAAGGCAGTAACATATTGAGCTCCTCATAAGTTTTCTTAAACTCCATAAAATAATTCATAAGGGATTTATCTTGTTTCTCTGCACGGTAAAACGCTTTGCACACCTCAAACATGCGTGACAGGTTCCCNCGTGATAGGTTCCCTTTACCCGAATACAGAAAATCCAAATAATCCATCAACTCTTTAACGTATTCACAGTGATTGATCAAGCTAATTACCTCGCTATCAATGGAATTTCGGATCTGCAGGAATAAGCGAGCATCCTCTCTAAGCCACGTCTGCTTTGAATCATCGTTGGGAGGATCCTCAGTCAAATGTGTATCTTTGTTAATACTCCGTAGATAAAGTCGAACGGTCTTGCTCCAATCCAAATAATTCAAGCCATTTAGCTTATGGTCCGTAATTTTAGACATTACTGGAATGACATCAGTCATAATTAAATTCTTTTGCTCGTCGGCCATATAAATAAATCCCAAGATAATAATAGTCCACCCTCAAGTCCAACAAGTAAATTAGGCCCAATTAACTAAGAAAATGGCCCAACACGGAAATTAGGCCCAAGTATCCAATAAATAGCTTGAGCCCAAAGTCCAAGTCCACAAAGAAACCCCAAGTGTCCAATAAATAGCTTGAGCCCACAATCCAAGTCCAAAAGAAACCTACTGCAGCCAGACCAAAATTACCTCCAAATTCACGTCGCCCTCACCACAGAAATTCAGGCACGGGAAAATCACAGAGGTGCTCTGACCGAGACCCAAAGTAGACACGCCGAAAACGAAGATGAACTTCAATTTGAAGAACTCGAAACCTGCAATTGTTCCGACCGATCTCACCGGATGCGGCGAACTGACCGATTCAGACGACAATTGCTCAAACTCCGACACCAGAATCGAGCTCGCCCAGACGTGGCGATCTCTTCGGACCAAACGACGACACTCAATCCTCAGATGGAACCCACGATGCCACTGCCCAACTTCCAAACGGCGACGGGAACCCTACGAACGGCGATTTGGAATCCCCGGTGCCACTACCCGAATCTGAAACGGTGATGGTAACCCAAGGTATGGCCACAGGTTCGATCAATAGAACCCTAACGCTCTGATACCATGTGATCGAACAAAGATTGGAAAAGATTTTCTATTCTCTCTCAATTATTCCAAACAAGGCTGATACATATATATATATACAAAACCTAAAACTAATTTAGGTAAGTACGTAAATAAGGAAACTAGAATCTCGTTAGGTATAGACCTCTAATTACAATCTATAACAGGTGTCCATGCATTTTCATCATGATCCGACTGCTGGTAGCACTAGGGTCAGGTGTAAGGGCATAATGTATTTGACAATTGAAGGATAGGCTTCTAGAGAAGCTTTCAATTTTTCATATCTAATTTTCAAGAAGTTCATCACCACCCATTAGGTGTGATACCTGGTATGCAGCCAATTTAATCTCTTCCATCCACCTTAATGGATATAAGTTAATTTTTCTTAGGATCACCATCTCTTTTATAATCACAGAAAACGAAATAAATAGTTTTTTCTCTTATGCTAGTCATCCTATTCCTCTCAGCGGGGCATTTAATCCTCAACAGTTTTGCGACTTATCTTCCTCACAATTCTCACAACTAAACAGGACATCCACAGAACTATAGTCTAAGCGAGCCATTAATCCTACTTCACTTTTTTTAATTGTATTTGATTACTGAATACATAAATCATCTATCATTTTTTTAATTTCCAATATTCATTGTTTATTCTGCATCCTCTAAGGAAGATAAACCTTCACTTGACCACCATCAGTTGCACAGCTAAAAACACTGTAGACAACAAATCTGAATCAAAAGAACAACCTTGCAATCAAAATGTACCAGAAAGAAAACAACAAATGCATACGGTCCAAGCATTTTAACTTTATCATTATCAGATTTAGGAATAACTACAATTTCTTTTAAATTTTTCAAAATCAAACCTTTCCCTCTCTTGAATACTTATGATTCAACTATTCAACGTCAAATTAGCTTCAGTTTCTTTCTTCCTATACTTCTCCATTACTGCTCAATTGTTTTGTGCCAATTAAAAATATTTATAAAGTTCAAAACGAACATTCATGAGCAATAATTATAAAAAAACCACCTTTATCGTTTATCAACATAAGGTAATACTTTTTATCGGAAGAATACCCCATTCCAGGCGGAACCCAGGTGGGTTTTGTTCGATTGATTCGAGAGGTCTTCCGGGTTGAGCTTTTTCGGCAAAGGCAGAGGGGCGGCTTCATGGGTCACCTCCCGGATCCAATAGGTGTATGAGGCTGCCGCAGCTGATTCCGATGTTTTCTCAGCTGAAATTGACGCTGCACCACCACCTTCCATTGCTCTCTTATTATTAACCAGATAAAACTAAGATATGGGATTGAATTGGATCGAATTACAACAGCAATTATGATTAATTAAACAAGAGACAATCTTGAAATGTGTTCTTCGAATTGTTAATTTAAGGATAATGTATAAAATTACTGGATTTGCTGGAAGATTAGGCTGAATCTCCTGAATCAGGGAAGGTTCTGGTGGGTTGTGCAGAATTAGAGAAAGTAACTCTTTAAGAGGGATTCGATTGCTTTTATAAAAAGAAAAAAATTAATTTGGCAGAATAATTGTGATAAATTCCACCAATGAGTCCCAACCTTTGGTCCATGTCACACAACGTCCTCAAGTTAGAGATGATAAAATAACTAGCTCTAGCTCTAGCTCTAGCTCTACCCCTAGCCCCATCCCCCATCTTGAATGAAAGAATTCTCCCTCTCTCTTGCCGAGAATCGAGATCGGGATTGGACAGAAAACATGGGTCCAAGCTTCCCACTCTTAACTCGCCCCAAACATGCCCGAAATATTTAAATCATTCGTACAGTATTGTCATCGACATTTTATATAATGGCTTATTTGATTGAAGAGTATGATAACACACAAACTTTTAAGGATAAATTCTATCAAGGGTTCTCTACATTTCATGAGTAAGACACGTAGTTTTAGCCTATCATTTGTTTCACTTATGTTTCTAATCAATTAAAATTATTGTACTTATGTTCCTAGCTAAATGATAATATTTATCTGAACATTAAATGATTATTTATGTGATGTCAAATTGAAAGGTAATCTCGTCCAAAAAAATCTTTTTTAATCTCTAATTTCAAGATTTTGCAACCATAATTTGATTAGGTAACATGCTTATCTAGAAGTATAACCAGGGCCAATGAAGGATTGTAATGTTAAGTTTAATAATCAAGCTAAGAGTAATTAATAATGAAAGTAAACAAGCTAAAATTTGTAGTGAATCTCCTATTAAGTGGACATGCATTATGATGGGAACTTCTAGCACCCTTAGGAATGGCGGATGGAAGGGGGCAAGCATGGGCTATACTAGTTGAGGAAAATTTTATGTTTAAATCTAGCCTTAAAAAATTCCTTTTAGCCTAGTTAACTTCAATCTTATCACAAGCAAATTTTCAAAATGTCCAAATTTAATTAAAGACTTACAATAATTATATATTTATTTAGATTACATTCATGCATGCAACGTGAATAACTCGTTATCAAATTAGATATTTTATTTCATGCATGTTTAATTTCAGTTTAAAAAGTTCAATTACAATTAAATCCCGCGGGATTGACGTGAGGGGTAGGGACGATGCCCTTGAAGCCCACACGAGATGGATGCTACAATCGTTAATTCTGGAGTCACTTTACGTCCGAAATTTCTTATGTTTTCCAAATGTTTTGCCATTTGCCAATCAACGATGAAACCTAAGAATTGACCATGTATCAATGGAATCTCAATACCGATTCGATTCAAGATAAATGTTCGAATTTTTGCAATTATTTTCTCGAGAACTTTCTTAAAGAGGAACCTCGTGGAATTAGTAAAATTATTATAAATATTTTTTATTGATTAAATCTAAAAATAAATGACTTATTCTAAGAGTAGGAGATTTATATTTTTTACTAAAAATTTAAAAGTAATTTAAATCTTTATTTATATCTATATTTCATGTATTACTTATAAGTATAAGAATTGACCATGTATCAATGGAATCTCAATACCGATTCGATTCAAGATAAATGTTCGAATTTTTGCAATTATTTTCTCGAGAACTTTCTTAAAGAGGAACCTCGTGGAATTAGTAAAATTATTATAAATATTTTTTTATTGATTAAATCTAAAAATAAATGACTTATTCTAAGACTAAGAGATTTATATTTTTTACTAAAAATTTAAAAGTAATTTAAATCTTTATTTATATCTATATTTCATGTATTACTTATAAGTTAAAAAAAAAATACTTCTTTTGATCATGAAATAGACGTTGTTATTAAAAAGAAAATTTCTTACTTAGCCCCGGTTTGGTATTGATTAAAATTAGATTTTAATTTAAATTAAAGTCAAACAATCAATATTAATCACATATTTCATTGATCCCACAGATTTTCAACCACACATTCCATCAACTTTTATCAAAACCTACTAAAAATCTAATTTTAATCTCCATCAAACAAGAACTTAATTTTGTTTGTTAAAAAGAGTATCTGCTAAAAATTTATTATATATAAATTGATATGATTATGAATATATTATGGAAGTGACTCAAACATCGATATAAAACAAACTCAATTTCTACCGACCCTAGTACTCAATAGGTATTTTATTAATCCACATTTGGTTTGGATTAAAATTCAATTAGAATTTTAAGTCAAAGTCAACAATTAATTTTAATCACACATTTTATGGGATTCATAACTTTTCAACCCATATTTCATCAACTTTTATCAAAATCTACTAAAAATCTAATTTTATTCTCTACCAGTCGGGGGCTCAGTTTTTTATTCATGAGTGTGTGTATATATATATATATACATACATATTTTTATTTTATTTTTTTGCTCATTTACCATGCTTTAATCACTCGATATTTTCTAGGAGGCGTTGATTATTGACATCTAAATTTGTACTTATTTGAGTAATCGGTTCACTTTGTCATTAGTGTTATGAGTTCAGCTTTTTAAACTAGGTCTTCTTAGAGCATTTACTACATCACGAGTTCATTGAAAAAATTAAGCCTCCGTTTGGCTCCTATTATTTGAAATTTAAATGGTTAGAATGGTTTTTTTTTTTTTTTTTTT